TTATGCAGAGTAATGATAACCAGCATCCCTTCATTTTTCACTGTTCCAAACACTCATCCCTTGAAATCGAGAGATTTGTTCCAGGGCTTCCCCTCCTACAGATACCAAAATTCACAGAAGTTCAAATTCCCTACAGAAAATAAAATCCCATAGTATTTACATATAACCTGCATGTATCTTCCCATACACTTTAAATAATCTCTCTAGATCATTCTTAAGATCTAATCTAAGTAAATGCTATATAAAAACTTACTGTGTTGTAGTTTTAACAAACAATGACAAGAAAAAGTGTACATGTTCAATCCAAATGTTTTTCCTTTCCTGGATATTTTCAATATACACTGGTTGAACCCATGAATGTGGAGGACACAGGGGGCCAACTGTATATTTCAAGACAGAAGCTACTTATTATGCCAAGGAAACATTCTTCTATTCAGAATCACTGCAAGGATTTTTTATTCTCTAGAAATCGGTGGAGTACATTGTATAGTTTTTGTCTAGATGTCTCCCCAAAGCCTCATGCAATCATAGAACTTTTTCAGAGGTGGCTGAATCTAGAGTATGGAATGCTGGGATTAAAAGTGAGTGTTGGCTGGATAAGTCCACTGATTGGTTTGGCACCGCCTAATCCTGGTAGAGTGGATACAACATAAGGGACAGAAAGAAGCTTCTCCCACACATGTGTGCCCTCTTGCTCTCACTGTCTGGCTCTCTCATTGCTTTTGCTGTCCTCTACTGCCGTGAACTGTTGTTCCTCTGCCATGTGTCACCCTGATTTGGAACCAACAGCTGTGGACTGAAACCTCTACAAACTGTGAGCTAAATAAACCTTTACTCCCTTGATTTGTGGGTGTTGGGTGTTTTGTCTCAGCAACAAGAAACATAACTAAGACAGATATTATCAAGTGCCTTTTAACCTTTAACAATAATTTTTAAAAGCCATATGACTTTGTCTTTTGACTTTGTGATTAATTTTAATAATAAAATTCCTAATATTAGTTATTTTTATTTCTTAAAATTTAAACATCTTTAATCATTTTATATGATTCTCAGAATAAGTTGATAGGCTCAGTTCTGCTGTGATTTTTATTTTTAGAATTTTATGTAGTCACAGAAAACATCTTTATAGTAAGTCCTGACTTACAAATGAGTTCCACTCCAGAACATTCACAAATTAGATTCATTTAAGTCACAAATATACAATGTAAAGCATTACAAAAAAGTCAGACACACACAGAAATACAGTAAGTCTCCATTTGCACTGGATTACTGTATACTGTGGCAGACACAAGAGCTACTTCTGAGATTAGTTCACACCTATGAGTGTTCATAATGCGAATCTGTTCATATCTGTGAAAGTCAGGGGTGTTTGTCAGAGGGCACTACTGTAATTTTCTTTCTGCTAACCTTGCCCAGATCATGAGCTGCAGTTCTGATAGTTCAAGATAATAAATTAAGACATTTTCTACCCTTTTTTGATTTGTAGAGCTGTTTAAATAGTAGAGGGATTCTCTAACCCTTGATAGTTTGAAAAACCGTGTCTCTAAACACATATATTCAGTCCCTGCATCAATTTTGGCAATAGGTATTTTTCCCAAAGTTTGTAGTTTGATTGTACTATGATTGTTTGTACTATGATTGTTATTCTCTGTTTCTTCCTGAATAAGTTTAAATAATTTTCATTTTGTTAGAAAATGTATGATTCTCCAAGATAGGCCATTTTCAAACATCAAGCTAAAGATGGTGTTCTGTTTTAATGCTTTCATGGATTTCTTTATCTGTGTAACTTGCTCCCTGCATGATTATCATTTCTTTCCTGGGCCATTGGGAGCTGCCTCTACATGAGAAGGGCACTTAGCCCTGTAATGTCTGGCATTTGTTCTAGTCCCAGTTCAGGTCATCTCATTCATCTCTGTCTGCGTGGCCACGCCCTCACCATCCTGTTAGAAGCATCCTTTGCAGTACCTTGGGGCCAGGAAGGGCAGGTTAGCAGGTACCACACTGACTTAAAAGTGAGTGGTGCTTTATGCACAGAACTGCGGCCTCCATGCTGAGGACAGGTCTGTTATTGGGCAGGCAGGAAAGAGTTTGTTGGGATGGGACAGTGATGAGCCCCCAGGCTCAAGGACCTAGGACTTCGGATTGTCCCAGGCATCTCCTCATCCCCAGTGCCCTCACCGCACCTTCCCTGTGGCTGCTTACCACTAGCCTCCTCAGAGTCAATAATATGGGCATGCTATTTCATGCAACAAAGAATCAACTACTTCACACGGTACCAGTTTAGCACGCTGTTATTTAACAGTTATGGTTATTCTGTGGAATCAGATAACTGTTCATTCTAACATTTTTACAGCAGTTGGCAGTGTAATCAAACACTATGGAGAATGTTTACATTTTCCAAAATTATTAAAATAAAAGACACATTGCCATGAATCCCCCTCAGGACACACCCTTTGAGCACACTGAGCCCATCAGACGCTTGGGAGTAGCAGTTTTGGAAGTTTTTATTCATGAGTTCTTTCCAGTTGCGCTGTTACGGCTGCCTCAGTGTCCTGAACTGTTTCAGAACATTCATGCATCACGGTCATTAGACTTTGGGAAAGAGGCCGAGGTTGCATGGTGCCAGATCAGTGAAGAGGGTAGATGAGGGCTGTCTTAGTTACTTTCCTCATGGCTGGCACACAGTACCTGACACGGAAAACAAAAGGAGGGAATGATTTTTTTGGCTCACAGTTAGCAGAGGTTTCGGGAGATGTTCTGGTGGCTCCAAGGCAGGGCGGCATGGTAGAGGTGCACGGGTGGAGAAGGGCTTCTCACAGCGAGGAAGACAGAAGCAGAGAGAGAAAGGAGAATCTGGGGAGGGAGAAAAACCTTTCCAGGCCATGCTCCCAGTCTCCCAGCAACTTCAACCAGACCCCATCTTCTATAAAGCAAGTCAGCTATAAACCACCATACCTGTATTAGTCAAAGTTTTATGGAAGAGAACAGATAAAACACGAGATATACAGATGCAAAAGAAACAAGACAGGCTTACGATGGTCAGCCACAGAGTCGGATGAGGAAGCATGCAGGGGGTGTCTGCTGCACACTGGAGGCTAAAGGTTTCAATCCAAGGTCTGGAGTTCACCCTAGTGTCTTGTGCAAGTCTACACCAGCAGGCTGATGGGTCTGCGACAGAAGGCTGGAGGCTCTAGATGAAAGGCTGAAGAGTCTATGCTGGAAAGCTGAAGAGTCTACAGTAGAAGCCGAGAGGGAGACGAGGTCCAAACCAAAAGTGAAGACTGGAGCTTCTCCCAAGAATGGAATGCATTTTTTTTTTCCTTTTCTTTTATACCTCCAGGTAATGAGCCACCCTGGGGTGGGTCTTTTTTTACACCCTTGGGTGTAGAGTTGCTAAACCCATTTAGTTAAGCTTCTAAATGTTTCAAGTTGACACATTCAGTCAACCACTACAATATCCAATCACATTCCAGCGGCCCTAGCTATGGGCCAGAGAGTTTTCAGAGGGACCTATAGACATAAACCATACCAAGGACACATTGTAATGTTTTTACAAGCCTGGCTTTCAATTGGATGGCACTGGGCAACAGCATTTGCTGTTGTTGCAGTTTTTTTTAAACAGATTTTTGTTTTGTTTTGCTTTTTGGTACCGGGGATTGAACTCATAACCTTGTGCTTGCCAGGCAGATGCTTACACCACCAAGCTAAATCACCACCCTGTTGTAGGTTTTGAGACAGGATCTTGCTATGTTGTTTAGGCTAATTTTAAACTCAGTATGTAGCCCATTCTGGCCTCAAACTCACAGCAGTCCTTCTGCCTCAGGCTTCTGAGTGCTGAGATTGTCTCGCATGTGCCATCATACCTAGCTATTTGTATTTTTTATTATACCTTATAAAAATGCTGAGGAAAGAGGACTTCCAGAAATGCTTTGAAAAGTGGCAACAACATGCGGTAAAAAGAGAAGGGGAGTATTTTGAAAGGGTCCTTGGCAATGGGTCTTTTACTTTAATTGTTTAAAATTTAAATATTTACTATATATTTTTACTGTGTCTTGTATGCAGTAGAAAATCTAGAAAAAGAGCCTCATAGAAGGCAGTAAGAAATGAGTGAGTTGGGCTGATATGACAAAAGTCACAACTAAGTCTATGATTCAAGGAAAAGCTGGCTGGATAGGAGACCAGGGGACCCAGTTGTGGAGCCAGGTACAGAGGTGGGCGAGGCGCTCCTGGTAGGAAGCCACGGGCTGCTGAACCAGGAAGACTAGAAGCTGGGTGAGAAACAAACCTTAATGTAATCAAGCTGCAGTAGCCTCAGCATCTCCCACCAGCAGAAATTCCAGGAAGCAGTTACCCCAACCAGGATTTAAATCAGTCAGGGCCTTGCCTCTGGAGGCAGCAGGTACCCGTGACCAGCTCTGCCCAGCAGGGACCTTGTTTTTTCTTTGTGTATGGCAGGCAGTACAATCCTTGATGCTAACTTAGCCTGTCTGCTACCCCACTGTGATTGCATATAACTTTTCCCACTGTCTGAGCACAGCTGCCAGATACGATTCACATCCTAAGTTCTCTACCTCCCAGCATAGACAATCAGGGGATTGTGTAGAATGCTTGACTATGTAAGAACACTCTATCCAGAAAGCTTTCTGTGTCCATGGGTTCGGGTTCTCCTTGGCTTTGTGTGGGTCTTTTATCTCAAGTCCAGCGTTCTCCTCCCCTGGTGCTTTCTTCTTCTTCGATCCTAATAATCCCAGACCTGAGAAGATTCTGGAACAAATGACTATTCTGATACACTGGGGAGTAGTTTCCTTTAATATAGGCCAACCACACACCATCATTTATGGTGAAGAATAAGGAGGGGAAATGGCTGCTGCCATTGCAGGAAGATTCCTGAAGCAGCTTAAGAGGAATACTAGACAGAAACACACATATACCAATGAAAATATCCGATGATGTAAAGTTCCCACTGATCCTGACATTTCTCTGCTTCGTCTGTGTTTCAGGTTCAGGTTTAGCGGTCGTATCCTCGGCCTGGCCCTGATCCATCAGTACCTTCTGGATGCTTTCTTCACGAGGCCCTTCTACAAGGCTCTCCTGAGGCTGTAAGTGTATGGCAGACAGTGGTTACACAGCCCTGGTGCAGGACAGCAGTGCGGGTCTCTCTGCGGCCTTGGGCCTCTGTCTCTGTTTTGCTTCAATCATTCATGTTAGGTTCTCAGTGCTTTCCTGTTCTGAATGCTTTGTGTGTCACATACACTTTTTAAGATAGTTAAAGGCTGGGGCTGGGGATTTAGCTCAGCGGCATAAGCTCCTGCCTTGCAAGCAGGCAGTCGTGAGTTCGATTCCTGGTACCGATAAAAACGAAAAAGACAAAAAAAAAAGATAGTTAAAGGCATTTTGAGAGTTTATGTAAACATAAGAGAAGATCTGATTAGCAAAACATCATATAATGTACATAAATCAGCTTCTGTAAAAATATATTACAAATATTGCCTTAAACTATTAAGCAGAAATCATTCATTTATACCTTACAACATGTAATAGAAAAACACACTGAATGTTTAAATTTTTAAAAATTAATTAGACACATTGTCATTATTCCTCCTCATAAGTCCACCCCCTCGCTTTGGACACAGTCACCCAGGCATTCTTGCCACTGTCTGAAGCAGTTCTGGAAGTTCTCTTTCTTGAGTGTCTTTATAAAGTGTGATCAAAAATGCAGCGAATGGTATTCCTAAGTGCTGTCCTACAGAAAGACGGGCTCATAAAAGCATTGTGATGTGTCTTCATCCAGTTTGGATGGCACTGTGTGACTTCTGGCTGTTCTCCAAAGTCAAATGCCCATGAAAGGTAAATGTTTGGAATGAATTCAGGACCCGGAGGCAACCAGAACAGTGCTACTAAAGACACTCATGAAAGAGGACTTCCAGAGTAGCTTCAGAAAGTATCTTTCTTCAGTAAGAAGAAAGATAAGTTTGTCAGAGGAGAGAGGGAGCACACTGAAGGGGATTGGTGGTAATGTCTTTTACTATAATAATTTTTTCTAAATTAAACATTCACTGTACTTTTCAATAATGCCTCATAGTTGCTTTAAAATGAGAGTCCATGAGTCACTTATTACTTATAATTTTTTCATCAATTATTGTTACCCATTTTAGTAGCTTGTTTTCAAAGGAGAATTATTGAATGAACCAAAATCATTGAATATATTGACTTAGTAATACATTCAAAGTTGTCCAAAAAAGTATCAAATTGTTAAGTCTGTAATGTTTTAACCAAAAGTGGCATAACTGCATTTTTTTCCATTGAGCATGGGCAGCAAGTTGGCCCCTAATTCTGTCCCATCTACTCCCTTGGGATCCACACAGGCCCTGTGACCTGAGTGACCTGGAGTATCTGGATGAGGAATTCCACCAGAGCTTGCAATGGATGAAGGACAACAACATCACAGATATCCTTGACCTCACTTTCACTGTTAATGAAGAAGTTTTCGGACAGGTTTGTGTGATGTGGGCATGGAAAAGGATTTTGTGTTTTACTGTGGTGAATACATATGTCTGAGTTACTTTTCTCATTGTTGAGACAAAAATACCCAACACCCAAGGTTAAAGGAGAAAAGGTTTATTTAGCTCACAGTTTGTAGAGGTTTCAGTCCATAATTACCTGACTCCAAGGCAAGGTTGCATTGCAGAGGAGAAATAGCTCATGACAGGAGAAGACAGCAAAGCAACAAGGATCAACCACAGCTCTTTTATCTCTTATAAGGGTCTTACATAGGCTACTTAGAGCAGGTGACATGACACCCTAGCGCCACTGATCCTAGTGTAGTGTAGCAACATGAATCAATTCCAGCACCACACGCTCTAGATCCAGCCACCTCTGAAAAAGTCCACATGAGGCTTTGGAGGGAATCTAAACCCAAGCTATAACAATATATAACAAAACTGACCATCTTAACCATTTTAAGTTTACACCTCAATATTATTAAGTACATTCTCACGGTAGGGCATGCAATCTCCAGAACCATTTTGTCTTGCAAAACTAAAACTGTACCCTTTAAACAACAGGTTCCCATTTCTCTCACCTCTGACCCTAGCTCCTGGTAACCCCATTCAACTTCTATGAACTTGACTGCTCCACATATTTCATATAAGGGAAAACACACAATATTGATCTTTTGTGACTGGCTTGTTTTACCTTACTAATGTCTTCAATGTTCATCCATACGGGACCATGTGTGAGAATTTTCATTCCTTTCAAGGTTGAGTGATATTCCATTAAATGGATGTGTCACCTTTGTGGTTCATCCATTTATCTGTTGATGGGCACCTGAATTTCCTCTACCTTTTGGGTATTGTGATAATACTTCTGCTATGACTATGAGTGCACAATTGTGTGTGTGTATGTGCATATGTGTGTGTGTACACACACAAAATACAATTGCTAGAGCATATGATAATGGAATTTTGCTTTTAAACTATAGAACAAGCAACTTCATTCATTCAAACATTATTCTTTGGAGACTATTTCCATTAATAAATCTGCCCACGTCCCTTTCCTTCTTTTTCTTGTTATGACATGGATCCCCTTTATGAATTTTTTAAAGTTACCTATGACAGTGAATCAGACACAATTTTTATAAAGTATACCACACCTGTGTAAGGTATTTGTGCTATGTAAAAACCACAGGAGTAATTATTTACATCATATCCTCCAAAATGCTTATATATATATATCTCAGAACTATTTAACAAGATAAGACTTCCCATTTGTTTTCTACTAGTATTTTTTATATAACAGTAAATTTTCTGATCAAATGGGTTTCCATTTAATCAGGGAATAACCATCTGAGCAGATTTAACAATTAAAATTTGGAGAGCACTAGTTACAAGAAATCTAAAAAAAAAAAAGGAATGAAAAAGGAAGAAAAACCTGTGTAATAGCACTGTTGTGAAACATAAATTAGAACCCTTTGGGAGGACCCTGCATGAATGAGCTGTGGTCAGAGTTACTCATGGGGTACTGCAGACCACCCGGCACCCACTGCTCCACTGAGAATCTGGGATGGGCCAGAATGCAAATTCTTTTCTGTTTATTTGTATAAACAGACCTTGGAAGAATGTGTCATAGATGACTGAGAGAAAATATTTCTTCCTGCACCTATAGGATACACTTCCATACTGCCCAGAATATGGTACTCATTGAACTGTCTTGCCATGTACTGAACTAATTTAAATTTTTCTAAAATTTAGATCCCCCAGTTATGTTACAAAAACTGAATTAAAGAAGGAAAAAAGAGAAAGAAAGAGAAAAAGGGAAGAAGAGAGAATTTTGATCTGTAGTATTGCATCAAGAAATACTACTATATGTATAGCACAAATATTTAAAACCCTAAAAGATTAACATGGTCAAATAAAGTTGTTGTTGTTTTTTTACTTCTGTATGGAAAAGTGCACCAAAATTAAGATTTAAATGCCATAATGCTATTATAAAGCAAGGCATTATGGCACATTTCCCATTCATTCAGCACCCTGAGAGGCTGAGGCAGGAAGATCACACGTTCAAGCCCAGCCGGGCAACTTAGGAGGGACCTATCTCAAAATAAAAAAAAATGGGGGATGTATCCCAGAGCAAAGGTCCTAGTTCTATCTCCAGTGCCACAAAAAGGAAAGAATAGAAAGAAAAGAAGTTGTTGGGAGGGAAGGAAAGGGAAGAAAGGGCAGGGAAAAACAAAATCTGCAAGCCCTCTAAGGTGCCAACATCTCCTCCTAAAATCAGAATGTTTGCCTGCGTGGACAAGCATCATAGCTTCCTGTCGCCCCACAGGTAACGGAAAGGGAGTTGAAGTCTGGTGGAGCCAACACCCAGGTGACGGAGAAGAACAAGAAGGAGTACATCGAGAGGATGGTGAAGTGGCGGGTGGAGCGTGGCGTGGTGCAGCAGACCGAGGCGCTGGTGCGGGGCTTCTATGAGGTGAGGCCCAGGCAGCTGTCAGGACCTCTGCTTCTCATCAGCCCAGTGAGGAGAGCGGAGAGGAAGCAGCAAGCCCGAGCTGTCCTCCAGCGTGTGGAGGACTCGGCAGGGTGAGGGCTGAAGGAAGGGTCACGGTGCCCTGGGAAACCCAGCTCTTGGAAGAGGTGAAAATGCTCCCAGAAACTCCAGTGGTGTGGCCCTGCTGTCACAGATGTGGAAGCCTTCAGGGCCTATTGTGAAGGCAGTGTGAGCATTTGGGGTGCCGTCCACTCTTGCTAGATTTTAATTTTCCTATAGCATCATTTTGCACCGCATCAGCCATGCCAAGTGGTAAACAGAGAAGACAGTGACAGTTTCTAGGCTTCCTTCCTATGCAAAAAGAAGTAATGTCCTTACATTTCTCCAGTTCCGAAATAATGAGCCATAACTGTTTTCTTGGATCCCAGTTCCGAAAAGTTCTCTTTTTTCCTGCCAGGAAAGGAAAAGAGCCATCAGAGCTGCTTGCTGCCCACCACTAGTCTGATCAAGATGCCATCGTAGAGGGCACATTTGGCACAAGCTGTGAATCCACAGCACAGAGCCCCAGGGACTAAGCAGGTCCTTCCAGACTTTTAAAAGAGGCAGGAAGGAAGTGAGAAGAGAGCAGGAGGATCCAGTCTTTAATAAATAATTCAGGGTCCTAACAAATGAGTCATGATTTATGTGACAAAGTACACTGTAAGAGAAACGGTGATGGTAATAGCTACTAAGTCACTTCAGAATGGTTTGAAGTTTTTACCTTTACAATGCGGTGTTTCTTGGAAACTTCAGTGTAACTTCAGAAAGTCACGTCAGGTTTGTTTGCGACCTCCATCCCAGAATGCACGTCTGCGTTGTGGGGTCCCAGGTGCAGACCCCGGGATCTGTTTCTTACTGCCATGAAGGGTTGTGCACCAAACTGTTTACCTCAGTGCCCGCCTTCATCCATTTAGGTTACCAAAATACCACACTCCAGTAGCACCTATGCACCAGAGGCTCTTTCTCAGTTTTTAGAGGCTGGACAGTCCAAAACGAAGAGAGTTTAGTGGATTCGGTGTCTTTTGGTTCACAGATGACAGCTTCTTGCCATGTACTCACTCAGTGGAGGGTAAAGGGGTCTTTCTGGAGCCTTTTTGATAAAGGCCACGAATCCCATTCATTAGAGGGGCACGCCAGAACCCCAAAGGTCTCACCTCGTCAGCCCATCACTGTGGTGATGACGATTTCAGCACATAATGGGGAGAGGAATGAATGTACAGAACATAACAGTGATTTTGAATGTAAACATAGTTGCATGCTGAAAAGAAAAAGATGGTAAATGATGTCACGTCCCCAGTTTAACCCACAGCAATAATGACAGTGACCGTAACCTCCCTTGGCGTACGGGCCTCTGTGCTGAAGCTCATCTGTGTCTCAGGTCGTGGACTCCAGGCTGGTCTCGGTGTTCGATGCCAGGGAGCTGGAGCTAGTGATCGCTGGTACCGCAGAGATTGACCTCAATGACTGGCGGAATAATACCGAGTACCGCGGAGGTGAGTGAGCCCTGGGTGTGATGATCCTGTCACATATGGAGTTCGTCACTTTTGGGAAAAAAATTTTTATTGGGGTGAAATTGACATAACATAAAATTGAGCAATTCAGCCTGGGGATACAGCTCAGTGGCACAGCACCTGCCTGGGAAGCATGAGGCCATGAGATTGATCTCTAGTACCAAAAATAAAACAATAAAATAAGCGAGCAATTCAGTGCAATTTGTTACATTCACAGTGTTCTCCAACCAGATAATCTATAGCTAGCTCTAAAGCATTTCCATCACCCCAAAAGGGAACCCTGAACCCAATAATTGTGTCCTACTCTCCTCTCTCCCCAAACCTTCAACCATCTATCTACATTCTGTTTCTGTGGGTTTTTCTACTCTAGATATGTGGTATAGCAGAATCTACAAAAGTCTTTTTATGTCTAGTTCTTTGACTTAGAAGATCTTGAGATTTGTCCGTGTTGTAGCTTGTTTCTGTCCCACATTCCTGTTTCAGGCTGAGTAATAGTCCATCATATGTGCACATACCTCAGTGGTGGTGGTGTTGGTATTGCTATTTGCAATGCTGGGGATTAATCCCAGAGCCTTGTGGGTACTAAGCCAGTGCTCTACCAGTGAGCTACATCCCCAGCCCAGCCAAATCCATCACTTTCTTTTCTCTCTCTCTTTTTTTTTTTTTTGTAATCCATCACTTTCTAAAGACTATAAAAGCCATGGCCTTCCTTTAGAACAAACCAGGTACTTACACAGCTTCCGACCTGAACTCTCTTCCAGGGACAGTAATCTCTGGCCACACTCTGAGTAAAGGCTTACAGAGGACACTTCCATCCACACGAGTGGATTATGAGCTGGAGCCCTCTGCACCTCTAACTGTGATCTCTCAACCCCTCCTAGCTATTCACCCTGCATGCTGCCAAACTAGGCTCCCTGAAACTTGCTACTCCTTTTTGGTAGCCAAGGTTAACCCAGGAATTCACACCGAGCTACCACTGCCGTAGCCCTTTTCTTTTGTATTTTATTTTTGACACAGGTTCTCTCTGAGTCACTAAGCTGCCCAGGCTGGACTCATACTTACCATCCTCCTGTCCTGGCCTCCCAGAGTGCTGGGATACAGGCGTGACCACCATGCCTAGCCTAAAAACTGTTTTCATTAGGCCACTTCCCTACTCACAAAATATACTCCTTATGGACATTTATAAAAAGTTCTCGTAAGTCTCATAACCCTTTCTTCACATAAAATTTTACAGTGAAACACAGTAGATCAGCGAGAGAGAGAGAGAGAACTAGGGGTGCCATTAGCTCTCTAGCCCCCCACTATACTCGGCAACCAGAACTTCTAGGTGGGCCTGATGTGGCAACCGCGGGTCTATGGTGTCGGTCAGATCATCTCTGCCTAGATGTCAAGGCCTCTAGCACTTCCAGTAATTTCCTTTCCCTCCTTATCAGGTGCCCTCTGCACTGGCCAGCTGAATGGTCCCTGTTGGTTTGTTTCCATTCTTATTATTATTTCCTCTACCAGATATATCATCCCCCTTTTCTCCACTTACCCAAATCCTTCCCATCCTGAACTTATACCCCAAGTCCTTTATGCAGCTCTCTGTTTCTGCCAGAGCCTGTGCAGATCTCCCATCTCTGACTGCCTCTTGTTTTTGATGTATCATTTATCTTAATTGATCCACGATGGCCTTTCCAGCCTAGTAGGAGATGGCCCAGTACTCCTACATGGGTCCCACCAGGCCCCAGGAACTACTGCTTAACAACCCAGCACCTTCAGCCACATCGCTGTTCACCCCCAGCCTCTCCCAAGGCTCCTGAGCATGGGGTTGCCAGGAGGTAAAACTTCAGATCAAAAGAAATGGCACAAAATCCTGTGTCCACACAAGGTCTGTCTCTTCCAAGCCTTTCTGTTACTTGTCGACATTTGCATAAGGCAAGGATATTTAAAGTGGTGTCCCAATTGTGTAAGTAGGAAATGTCTCTGAGGACATCTCCAGGATATAAGGTCCTTTCACAAAATAGCTATTTTTCTAAATCTGCTTTTGGTTTAGAACCTGACCTAGCTACACAAATCATTTTAGACCTAACCTATCTAAAGGCCATTTTTAGACAAATCAGCCACAGGTCTGTAATTCCAGCACTGGGGGAGGCTGAGGTGGAACGATCTCAAGGTTGAACTGGGTGTGGGCAATTTAGGGACTCAATGAGACCCTATATCAGATTTTTAAAATTTTAAGAAGGCTGGGATGGCCCCATGTTCAATCTCTAATACCACAAAAAGGAAGGAAAGGGAGAGAAAAATCAAAGTCAGCGAGTCCAAAGCCATTGCACAGTTAATATACCTTAGCTATGTCGCCCCTGCTCCTCCTCCACATCCTCTTTCTCCCACGCTTTGCTCTGATCAGGCTATCACGATGGGCACCTGGTGATCCGCTGGTTCTGGGCCGCAGTGGAACGCTTCAATAATGAGCAGAGGCTGAGACTGCTGCAGTTCGTCACAGGAACTTCGAGCGTGCCCTACGAAGGCTTCGCAGCTCTCCGAGGAAGCAATGGGCTTCGGCGTTTCTGCATTGAGAAATGGGGGAAAATCACATCTCTCCCCAGGTACAGAGCTCCTGCGAACCTTCAGGAAACTTCCTGAAGAAGGCGAATTTTATCTTTGCCATTGGAGGTTGCATGGGCATCCTCTGAGACGAACTCTTGCTTGTCACCCAGTGTTGTTATTTGAGTTATTTAGTGGAAGCTATCGGTGTGATGTTCCTGAGGTTTAGATTGAGACTTCAGTCTTGGTTTGATGATGGATAGTATCAGGGCTGTGATGTATTGGCGTGAATGTCAGTCATGGGTAGGTTTCGAATGTGTGTAGAGTCCACCTTCATTTAAAGAAGAATATCTAACGTGGGGAGAGGGAAATAAGGGCAGTAGGGTGAGGACACTGGAGTCCCAGAGTAATGCTTTCAGCACCATATTGTACTTCTCTATCCTGTCCCTTGATAGGGTAGTTATATACCCATGTCTGTGTGTGTCATATTTTTCCCATTTAGTTTTAAAACATTTGAGAATGAGCCTCTACAGTGACTCCCATACAGTTCCCTGTGAAGCAAGATTACAGGATAAACTTAGGAAAGGAAGAGTAGGGGTCCAAGCAGTGTTACAGAATAAATTTCTCGTGCCACGTATCTTCACTATGCCACTCTGGGTAACATAATCCTGATCAGTGAAACAAAGAACACCAAGGAATACTCCTATAGAAACCGTGGGTAACAAATATCACTTTAAGTCTCTGCCATAGCACCCTAAGCATGCCTGGTTGCATCCAATAAATACAACTTTCACAAACTACAGATAACACTGATCCTTACTTCTTCTTCTGATGTTTTCTAACTAGAAAAAGAATTTCATTCAGACTTGTCTGTGTGGACTTGACCACTTATGTTAATCAGCTCTCTGTTACTGGACAAACACTTGGGAAATGTCACTTTAAAAAGAAGAAAGGTTTATTTCTTTGGGGGCTTGGTTGTTTAAGGAGCTTCAGCAGGTGTGGGAAGAGCATGGGCTTTTGGATTTGCGGACAGAAGTATTGATGAGCTTCAAAAAGAGTGGGCTCAGCAGGGCTGAGGATAAGACCCATCTGAATGAATGAGGCTGTTGGTTTGGTGGTGAGAAAAGATGCGTGAAGGGATTACACAGCTTCTCAGCTGGTTTCACACCTGAGTGAACAACCAGCCATCATCATGGCTGCCTCTGTTGTTTCTTTTGGATGCCTTTGAGCAGTCTCTAGTGGACGGCACAAGACTTTCTGTGGTACTGTATTGGTTAACACTTCAGTGGATAACTTAGAAAAACTCAAGGACACAGAGAGATCAGCTGAGCAGATGACCCAGGTCAGAAGGCTAACCAGTGCACCAAGGGACACCATCTAAATCCAGGAGTATCCCGAAGTTTCCAGAACTCTAGTTAACATTAACACAATGAAATTCGACATGGCAGGACTGAAAAAATTCTTGTGGAGTTTCAAAAAAATCATTGAGGAGATTGAAGGTGATTCACTTGCCAGTAGGTGATGTGGAGAAACCCAGGGTCTTAAGCCTCAAGCATGACACAGTTCCTAAAATCATTATCCCAGTCATGACTGCATTATGAGAGAGTCTTATGTTTAAATGATGATTCACAGGTTATGAAAGGCATTTATATGCATTCTGTCGATGAACCTCCCAATAACTCTCTTGGGTGCACACAGCAGGTATTATTAACCCCATTTTACAAGTGAGAAAACTGAGGCTCAGGCAGATTAACTGACTTTCCCAAGGTCATAAAGCTGGCCAGTGGCTAGACTGGGATGAGAAGAGAGGCCCAGCCTGTGATCCCTGTTTCCTGCCCTGGCCCACATCTGCCTGCTGTCTTGGCCCCTAGCACAAGGAATCAGGTCAGCAAGCACCGTTGCTGTGGGAGATACCCCTGGAGGGCAGTGAGCACACAGGAATGCGGAGCCCGAGTGAGGTTTCATTGAGTTCATTCTAGATGACAAACTAGAACTTGGCTAAGGGAGTGAACCAACACTGTGGACCAATACAGTAAAAGCAGCCAGTAAAGAACTCCTGATGTTTTAACTGGTATTTATTCATATTTCCATTTACCCCTCTACACTGGCTCAGGATTAAATTCCTTCCAACTATCTGGTAAATACAGGGGATTTTTTCCCTATAATATTTCTGCTCTCAAGTGCCATTAAAATGACCAGGAGGAAAAAAGGAAGGCAGTATCTGCTTATAGCTCACTCCTGGCGAATTTAGCTAGTTCCCAAAGCACTTGTGGGACTCGTCCGCCCCACTTTACCTGGTGAGCCATAGCCTAGCGTATGTTCCAGTTTCCATCTTTCTAAACAGAGAGAAGAGTCACTGCCCTCTTTGTCCACCTCGATTTACTGACTTTCCTCTCACTCTCACTCAAATACTCTGGTGTAGATAAAATATTTAAGCTGTTTTCCTTTGAAGTGAACATAGGTCGGGTTGAATCTCAGGTAAAGACCGAAGAACTCTGCTCGCTGTTGTCTTTTGAGAGGGGAAGAGGACAGGAGGACAGATGAGAGACACTTCTCTAAGGACAAGATGGCAGCTGTTCGGAGGGGGAGTGGATACTGGGAGATCAGAAGGAAACCACGGACATCTTTCTCAGTCTCCTGGGCAGGAAAAGGCTCCTTCTCTCTCCAGTTCCCTCATTCCCATCCCCAAAATAATCAACTTCCATACCCCAAGTGTTCTTGAACCGGCCTTCACAGAGATCTGGCTCTGGTACGCTGGTTATAGACTTCAACAAAAGTACAGATTGTTCCCAGAAAGATATTACAATTAAAGGAGTTTAATGTCCCAAATAAAATCCAGTGGAGGGAATTTAGTTTGATTTGTGCATACATTAGTTTCAGGGGTTTTTTTATTTGATAGGATTGGATTTGGGGTGTCCTTTCTGTGCTGGTTGGTGTCTCCAAACACTATTTCAACACATGCCTCCTTCTAGGGAGGGAAAGGGATAAAATTAACTTCCAGTGGCACCCATTCCCCTTTCTCCCTACTCTAGTACGGGACCCAGCATCAATAAAAGTGCATAGAAACAAACAAACAGAAAAAAACCTCTCCACAGTAAATAGCTAGTCAGGTGAATGAGGTGCCCCAGGAGGAGTCCTTGTGTGCTGTGCCTCTATTGTGCCTGCTGGAGACCCACAGGGGTGTTCTCTGGTTCCTGTGTGAGCAGCTCAGCAAGGAGGGCATTCATGGGCCAAGGCAGACTCGGCAAGCATGGGCCTGCAGAATGTAGCACATGACACGTGACACAGACCCTGGGGCGGTGATGTGAGGATGCCCTGGCATTGAGGGAGCGCTGTCTCACAAGCTCAGCTCTTCTCAGAAATGCAACACTTCAACCTCAGGGGATGTGTATCCTACTCGAATATAAAACTTCCAGAACACTGTGGATTCCTCCAGAATACACTTGGTTTACAGCAGCCCAGAAATCAGAGGTAGGCAAACAGACTTAAGAATCTGAACCTTTAGTAGTAATTATTTTTCTTTGTCCTTCACAAAGGAAGGACATCTAAGTTTGTATCCCAATTGCCAAAGTGAGTTGGTGCCATAGGGTTGACCACTGGTTCGCTAGTGTAGTTTGCTTACAAATCACAACCACCCACTTCTAGTTGTTCCATTTCCTCGGCTGGTCCATCCTGATTGGTAGTCTGCAGTGTTTTACAACTGTCCTGAGTCCTGGTCCTCTTCACTTTGTATTTCCCACTGAGGTCACAGGTATATCCAGAGCCAGCTGTATCACTGAAATACTCTCACCAGCGTTCTCTCCTCTATTCAGGGCACACACATGCTTCAACCGATTGGACCTTCCACCGTATCCGTCCTACTCCATGTTGTATGAAAAGCTCTTGACAGCGGTCGAAGAAACCAGCACCTTTGGACTGGAGTGAGGAAATGGAGCCTCCTCCCCTTGACATTGTCCTGGCCAATGACATCACCCCTTCTGGGATGACCCCTTTCCTAGTCCCTTCATCAACTCTCCTTTGATTTTGGTATTCCATTCTTTTTATGTTCAAACCAAATCAGGATTGACAAAAGCTGTGCATGAAGAACTGCCTTCTTCTCAGATCTAACCTTCAGGCTTCTCTCCTCTGTCTTCAATGAACTGCTAGCCTGTATGCAATATTAAAAAAAAACAAACAGCTGTCTCAAGGTCTGTGTATATCTCCACATACCTCCATTACTAACAATGAAATAGGAATGCAAGTTATGCTACACTTGACCAAATGGTAATAAATGTTTACTTCCATCTCTATCGTTTAAGGGAAAATTTAAGCTTTTGCATTCCAAGCTTTTATACACCCATGTCTTCTGAGCAAAGCTACCATTTTTTTTAATCATTTCTAACAATCAACTCCAGACTTAGGAGCTGATCGCCTCTTTGTTTTCCTCCCACACTGCTTTTCCCCATGTGTCCTACCATCCAAAGGACAGCAAGTGGCAACACTGAAATTTTATACATTCAACTCATGATTCATAGGTGGCATCGGTCCCATCGGCCGGAACTAGCTCAGACAAATGGTGCAAATATGATACGTCCAATAATTAACAACATCAAGATAAACACACCCTGCCGATGTAATGCAGTGCATCCCAATTATTGCTGGGCTCAACTTGAATTCAGAGAAGTCGAGAGGTGGGGGAGCACCTCCAGTAAGCACCACTCAAGAAGCTCAAACTTGTGCATATGTTTACGAAAGAAATCTTCCTTGAAGTAGGCTGAAAGATGAGGCCTCAACTCCCTTGCATTGTATAAAATGTGCTAAAACAAACAGGAGAAAGGAGAGAAGGACTTAGTACATTGATTTGAATACCTGGGTTCTGTACTGCTCTGTTCGATGTAGGTACACTTCTTCACAACAGGAAAAAAATATATAGATATTTCATGACTTTTGTTTGTTAAAGCCACATTTATTATTCAGCAGGTGAATCTTGCTGTTTCTTTATGCTGATTTTTTTATTCATTGTTTTGTTTTTTAAATCATGGTGGTCAAGTTCCTCCACGTCTGGTCATCCACAGAGACCACACTAAGAAGCTGCAGAGAGTGACGGTGCTTGTTAGGATCAAGGGCAATCTGTACTTCTCCATCCATAGCAATCCTCCAAAGGCACGTTGGTTTGTGTCAAAATAAATATCCAGTTTCTTTTAGCATTCAGTAAAAAGATATCTTTAAAAAAAACTTTTGTGTTTTCAGAAAAAACAGTTGCAGGCTCGAAAGACTTCACCTCTTGATTACATTTGAAGATCAACCCAACCACAATGGTCATTTGCTATTTTTGTAACCCTGTTACCCCATGTTGTCTGAAATGTGTCAAAAATGAAAGTGTTTTTCTTCACTGGGAAAAGAAAAGTTAAAGAGACCTGATTCTGTAAATGTCACATTATTTTCAAAGTCTTAAAAGAGGCAGAAATGGGAAAACTGTAAGACAAATTTAATTTCAGATAAAGCTATGCCTTTTGGCTCACTATGCCAGCTTGTGTATGAACAGGGTGTTACTTGTGTTTCTTGTAATCTGAAAGAAAATAAACTCTGAAGTAGAATAAAACTCAAAACAAAATAGGAATTAGTTACAATGCCCAGCACCATTTCCTGATGTTTTTAGATTCTCATTCAGGGAGTGTACATTATAGAAATTTAGCCTGTATTTAATAGTGCCTAAAAAGAATATTTACCAAGATGGGATGGAATGTGTAAGTCCTATGACTCAGAATTTGAGGGATGTGTAAAATTCAGCGCACGTTTCGATACCTGAAAAGTAGTGGCTTCCAGTACAGCTGTTATATGTGAGATGCAAATGTTAGGGTTATGTAAATCATTTTATCATGTCCTTATGCTCTTTGCACAGCATCCTAAATATGGAGGGGCATCTTTGATCTTTGGAGTTTAGTATCATATAATCATTAATCCAAACATCAACTCTTTTTTCAGACTTGTTGTTGTTGTTGTTGTTGTCACTGGGGACTGATCCCAGAACCTTCACACTGAACTACATACATTACCATTTTTTTATTTCTTCCCTCAGTACTAGATATATAATCCAGGGCCTTTGCACTGAGCTGCATTGTCAGCCTTTTTTTCTTTTTCTAATTTTGAGACACAGTCTCATTAAATCACTAAGTTGCCTGGGCTGGAATCAAACCTGTGATCCTCCGATCTCAAGCATCCCAGAGTACTGAGATTACAGACATACACCATCAAACCCACTTATGTTTTAGTACTTCTGTTATTTGTCAAGCATTGGAAAGGAAGAAAAGCGCTCAAAAGATAGAATCTGTTCCTGGAGCGTTTTACAATTTCATAAATACCTACCTAATCTACTAAATATATTAGTTAATAATACCATATATGAAAAGAACAAGTTATCATAAACATTATACATAAATATGTACCTTGGGTGTCAGTGATTTTTCAACTAACTTTTCCTTATGTACCACCTGTACCACAGATGCCTTGCCCGAGATGTAGCTCACCAAGTGTAACTCGGAACAGCATTTCATAAATGTGCAAAATGCTGTAAGAGATACTAATGTCAAAGTCACCCGAGAAAATGTGAAGTTCACTTAACTGGGTGGGAGCACTGCATGCGAGCGTATCTTAGAGGAAGAAAATCAAGGTGTAGCAAAGCTCAGTAACCAGTCCCTCGCAGGATCCTTTTACCTCACACCTAAATCTGATTGTAAATCATATGTAATTTTCTCCTATGTATGAAGAAATAGCTGTTAAGTTAAATGTTCCCATGAATTGCAACAGGGGGAGTCATAACCCACCTCAAGTAATGTAATTTAAAGGATAAGGCAGATCTAGTTGTTAAATATATGTTTGGGTTTTTTTTTTATTTAAAGCACGAATTCTTCCTGAGGAGGAAAACTGCAAAATTAATCACTTGTAAGTCACAACCCTCTAAAACCAAATTATGTTTTAGCAAGAGTTTTAGTAAAAGTGTAAGACATTATGGAGAGACAACAAGAATGGTAAGAGAAATTTTATGTTACAATTTGGAAAAAAATGCTTTAAGGTATTATAATAATTTCATGGGCACCACAAACATTTTATTCCCAAATATGAAAAGAATTATTCCAAAATAAAAACCAACTGCGCAGGGTTGGAAGAAGCATTATAGATCTACTGAATTCTTTGTGACTTCCTTTGTATACAAACAGGCAGAAGATGTGAAAAATTTTTACCACCATCACTTTGTACCACAAAAAGTTGAGAGGAAAGAAGAAAATTAAGAAAAAGAGATATATGTTTTGGGGGCAGGCTTTCAATATGCAATATTTAAATATCTTTCCTTTTAATACACGACCATGTGTCCTTTAACTGTGGGAATACTTGCGTGGCAAGCTACTCAACTCGATTTTTTCAGGACAGTTCTAATGTACCAGTCAGATTGTCAGTCCATGTGTCACACCATGTGCATGAAATTTGTGTTCAGAACACTTCTCAAAGACCACAGATGTTTTCCCAGTCGAGATGAAAACACTTTCAAATGAAAGTAGTTAGAACTTTACATAACAAATGTGGTGCTTTATTATTATTATTATGTATTTCAGTGTTCATGATTAAAACTACTGCAATACTATATCATAAAAATCTGGGATGGATGTTCCCAGCATCCCAAGGTTCAAAAGAGAAAGTGTTATTTTCCTGTTAGTGACATGTAGTCCTTTTGTTCTAGTAGAAAAAAGAAAAAAAAAAGGTGCCTAGAGGTAGTATATAGAGTAAATATTGTTCAATTAGCCTACTTCCTGCAGCTTCAAGTTTATCTAAGGAAACGTCTATAACGATTTTGTTAAAAAGTCTTTGTTGTAGTCATAGCAGGAGAAGTCCACATCACTGGGCTGATTTTGCTTACATCGACAAGAAAAATGTCACGTGATACTCAGGCCGCGCTTTCTCTTCTATCCTACCACCTTCAAGGAATGTCAATAAACTCACTTTGGTATGGCACGGTGTGTGCTCCTTATTGCAAAGGGAAACCGGGGTCCCCATCCCCATCTCTGCCCTGCTTCCTCTTCCTGGCTGTAAGCAATAGAACAGCATGGAAGGCTTCCAGGCGGTGTGACAGCCAATCCCCAGGGAGGGAAATCATTTATGAGAAAACTATGCCCTCACAGATCCGTGAATAAAGGAACAGCTCCCGTTAAGAAGGTCATCGTGCACACGGGCGTCGTTTTCTGAGCATCCTTCAGGTAGAGCCAGAGGACAGTGGCATCTTTCAGGTAGAGCCAGAGGACAGTGGCATGTATGAAACCCTTCCCAGTGAGAGGCTTCCACCAAGACTTGGCCACAGCCTGCTACCCAGTGGCCCTAGGACAAGAGCTGGCAGCACTAGGAAACAGGCTGTGCCCTCAGGCACACCCCACAGACGGCATCCCTTCCTCCCCAGCCTGCAGAAGCCAGAGGCTGATTTATTCAGGTGAAGAAAAGTATTTTATTATGAGGGAAAAATAGGAATAGGATTGGAAGAAGAAAATCCACAGGGACCGACTGAAGGTTAGGAAGACCTACAGATGATACATTTTTATATACGTCCTTGAACTGATTTAGTTTTTTGTTAGGGGGGGGGTTGTTTCTTTTTTTAACTGAAACTAGTTTCTCCAGGACAGTGTAAGAAAACACTTAACCTACTGGCCCTTTGGCTTGCGTGGACCTAATTAAGTTTTACCTTAAGCCTCATATATGTAAATGACAAAGCTTCTGTTACCTTTAAATATTTTTTATGATAACATTAAAGAGGGAAAGTGGCCTGTAGGTCTCAGATTGGTCAAGCATTTAAGAAGAATAGAAAAAAAAAGAATAGGTCAGCCAGGCGTGGTAGCACATGCCTATAATGACAGCATTAGAGAGGCTGAGCCAAGAGGATCACTGTCAGTTCGAGTCCAGCCTGAAAAGAAGAAGAGGTTATAATTGTTTTAATCTGATCACTATTCTGAAGTCAAGATTAGATGTTAGAGCTGGGCATGAGGCGCACACTTGTCATCTCAGCACTCAGGAGGCTGAGGCAGGAGGGTCACTGTGAGTTAGAGGCCAGCCTAGACTGCATGAGCAAGTTCAAGGCCAGCCTGTACTATATAGTGCGATCTTGCCTCAAAAAAAAAAAGATTACACTTTTCAGATGCTGATTTCCAAGGCCATATTCTATATACTAGTCCGACATTCATTAACTGCATGCTGCAAGAAAAAGAGGGGACACAGACAGCTTATATTTAATATATAGTTTAGATATGTTTCTGGGGGATGGCTCTGTTTCCCCTCTTCTGTTTGTTGGTCTCTTTCTGTCTCTCGCTGTCTCTCTCTCTTGCCCTGGCCCTCGCCCTGTCCCTCTCTCCCTCTGTCCCACCCCCTACTCCCCCATCTCCACCCCCCACCCCCATCTTGCTGTCCTGAGACTGAACCCAGGACCTCACACATATTAGGCAAGTGCTTCACCACAGTGCTGCACCTCACAGATGTTTGTTTGTTTGTTTGTTTGTTTGTTTAGAGATAGGGCCTCACTAAGTCCCCCAGCCTGGCCTCAAACTTGTGTCCTCCTACCTCAGTATCCCAACTAGCTGGGGTCACAGGTGTGCTTCCCTGTCCACAGGGGCAGGGGATATTTTATAGCGGAAAACATGAACAGTGAGGGAGGAGCAGACGGACCTCTATACCAGTCAGCAATCACCATCTTCACAGCCAGGGGTGAACGTAGGTATCTTTGCCTGGCTGTCTCATCTTGGAGGAAAGCAATCTGATGATGCAAGGAGAGTTGACTTGCTCAAGCCCATTAAGCTTTACTTTGACGGCTAACAAGATGCCCTGTCACCAACTACCCCTTGGGGCCCTGCACCTGGCATCATTAGGAAATCTGCTGAGAGCATGTGCAGAAGAGATGGGAACAGAGACTGTGCCATTGGGCCAGGTGGAATTCCCAGCTGGTGTGTATTCTCCAGAGAGGGAAATGCCAGTTTGTTCACAAAGCCCCTGTGTAATTACTAGAGCATTCTTTTGAAGCAGCACAAAATGTTAGTGTAGCTGTGCCTAACAGCTTGAGGTGGAGGTTATCAGGGAGCTGGTTCTGAGATCTATAAGACATAGTTATTCTATCTCTATTTCCTAGATTCTGGCAGCTGCTGGGAGACTTTGGCATTTCTTGGTTTGTAAGTCACTGCCTTCATCATCCAATGATGTCCTTCTTGTGTGCGTGCCTTCATGTGGATTTGTGTGTGGGCATGTGCATGTGTGTGTACACATCCTCCTTTTTGTAAGGACACCACTTATGGAAGAGTAGGACCCATTCTAATCACCTCATCTTAACTTGATCAGCTCTGTAGAGATTCTAACTCCAATTAAGGATATATCTGAGATACAGAAACAGGACTCCAGCATACAGTACCTTCTTTTGTGGACTTAATTCAACCATGACATCCTCTTTCCTGCTACCTCACGAACACTGAACAGTAGTAGTAATATATACTGATATGCCTTTCATGTCTCACTCTATGAAATGGCTGATTTTATACCCTTACTTTAAGCTGAAAAAAAAAATGGCCCAGTTTGGTGGTACACACCCATTACCCTAGTACTGTGAGACATTGAAGCAGGAGGAGCCCAAAGTTTCGGCACAACCTGGGAAACTAAGCAAATTATTGAGACCCTGTCTCAGGATTTTGAAAGGGATAGAAATGCTGCTCAGCACAAAAGTTTTGGTTCAATCCTGTGAGAGAGAACAAGAGAGACAGAAAAAGAGACAAACTAGTAACCCCACCAAAAACACATAGCTAGTAAAGAGATAGCCAAGATTTGAGTACAAGGAGGCTGGCCCAGGACCAAGCACTCAAGTACCCCCACATGCTATATTCATTCAATTAATCAATTACTGCATACAGTAAGTAGCTCCCTTTAATCCACAGAGGACACGTTCCAAGATCCTTGGTGGATTCCTGAAACCAGATAGTCCTGAGCCCCATATACCTGATAACTTAGACAGCTACCAAGTTACAAGAGGGCAGGCAGTGTATGCAGCATAGATGTGCTAGACAGAAGAATCACTGACTTTCTGGTCAGGACAGAGCAGGATGGCACAAGCTATCTCATAGCAACCATTTTCTGTTACTGTAACTACATATACATAGCTGGATAATTTATAAAGAATAAAGGATTATTTAGCTTACAGTTTATTTAGCTCAAAGGTTTACTTAGCTCCTAGTAGAGGCTGGGAAGACCAAAGTCAAGGGTCCATATATGGTAAAGACCTCCTTGCTGATGGGACACCACAGCATCCTGAGACAGCAGAGGACATTGTACAGCAAGAGGGACCCATCCAAAGCACAAAGCCAGCTGGCATTTATAACAGACCTGATCTCACGATAAACTAGTAACTCACTAATGTGTTAATCCGCGAATGAGGGCTCTGCCCTCCTAAACTAATAATCTGCCTTTTTTATTTCTGATACCAGGGATCGAACTCACGACCTCATACTTGGTAGCCAGGCACTTGTGCTGCTGAGTTATACCCCAACCCACGAGCTAATCACCTCTTAATGGTTTCATTGGGCTCATTTCCACAACATGAGTTTGGGTGGGGACATACACACACATTGTGTATATTTTGTGTAAATATACACAAATTAAAAGAGAAGAAATAGTGAAAGATAATGTCAGTGTTCTAAAAAAAAAAAAACCTAAGAAAAATTAAACACAAAAAATAGGTGAAGCATATTATAGAAAAATAAAATCAGAAATTAAATAGAAAATATGCATCTCAAACCCAAAAGTTAATTTTGGAGAAAACAAGCAAAATTTATAAGCCTCTATCACAAATATCCAAAAATAAGATAGTAGTCTAGTACAAGAGACTTTATGCCAATAAATATGACAAATTCCTGCACTGAAGAAACTTCCAAAGCTGACACAATATGGAACAGAAGATCTGACTTCTTCAATATTTATGAAAAATTGAATTAACCTTTTTAAATACCACAAAGACAATATCAGGTCCACATAGCTTTTTTAGTGAATTCTCTCAGAGAACTGAAATAGAGGAACACCTCCCAATTAATTTTGTGAGGTCAGCATAATCCTGAGAGCAAAACCTTAAAAGGACGTTAAAAGAAAACGGCCAGGCACAGTGGCTCATGCCATCAGTCCCAGCTGGTCTGGAAGCTACGACAGGATTTTCTAAGCCCAAGAGTTCAAGACCAGCCTGGACGATGTAGGGGAGAATCTATCTCAAATGCAAAAATAAACAGACAAACAAAAAGGCCAACTTGACTCACAAGGATAGATGCAAAAATCCTAAACAAAATCATAATAAACCAGCCAAGGTGATAGAGAAACATAGACACACACACACACACACACACACACACACACACACACACACAAAACATTATGAATAAGTTGGGTTTATGTCAGCGATGTTGATTTTTATAGACAGTGTTGGGACCCTGGCACTTCCTTTTTCCTTCCTGGCTGCCTTAAACCCCTGCCATGATGTACTCTACCATGAAAATGCAATGGAGCCAAGGGGTCATGGACTGATTCCTCTGGAACCAAGAGCCAAAATTCCTCCCTTTTAAACTGCTTATTTCAAGTATTTTATCATAGTCACGTAAAGCTGTTTAAATATACATTAAGTGTCAGTGTGTATAAGAATGTATCTTATCATAACAATGTAATAAAGAGATTATATTGATAAACAAGAGCAATCACTTAGTAAAATTCAACACGTATTTACAATTTTTTTCAAAGAAAGGAATTTCTTTAACCTTATGTAAGTTATGTACAAAAAAAATGAACCACAAGCATCATCTGTAGTGGTGAAATGTTCAGATGATTCTAAAATTGGAAAGAAAGCAAATGTGATAATTAACCAACTGTGTCAATTTGAGTAAGAAAAGCCCAATTTAACTGGCTCAGCATAGCTCTGAGTGTAGCTGAGGGTACTGACCAAAGACAGAGGACCTATACCAGGGCAGCTGGTCACCTGAATGGTATAAAGTGGAAATGAAGATTTGCTTCTGTTTTCTCAGAGGAATTCCAGTCTTCACCTTCACCTTGGACATCATCTCCTGGCTTCCAGCTCAGATCCATCAGCCTCCGCCCCAGACATTTTGGCCTCTGGATATAGACTTACACAGGGTACTGCAGTGAGCTACAGGCCTTGGACTGGATTCTTTGGATCGCTAGTGTACAAACAGACCTTTGGCATTCTTCGACACCTGACTAGTACAGCAAGTGTTTCTATCACTACTAGTCACTTTTTTTTTGGTTTTTTGAGACAGGGTTTCACTAGGATGATCTTGAACTAACAGTGATCCTCCTGCCTTGGCCCTCCAAATGCTGATTACAATATCCACATTTTTTTTTTTCCGAGCCAGGGTCTTGCTTTGTAGTTCAAACTGAGTTTACAACTCAAGAGTTTTTTCTTGGCTACTTTATTAATTTGTATCTCTTTCATTAAAAATATTGATCCCTGATAACAAACCTTTTATTTATTTTATCATAAAATACATGTGAAATACCCTCAAGATAACCAATTCTAATTAAATATAGGTAGAGATAAAATTACTACATGTGGGGAGCCACAGCAATTGCTTCAAAGACCTGGACATCTCAGGACGCATGATGCCATGGCTCTGCTGTTTGGCACAGGTGCACAGCGGGATCCACTTACATAAGCATGACTTAGCACAGACTACTGCGCATGTGCCACAGGGTTATGACAGTACACAAGAATGGAAACTTGATAACAGCTGATATGCACCAGTCAGACAATAAACATGCTGCTGCTTGCTGTTGTCACTGATATCTGCTCCTTGGGCTTTCTTGTGTCTGGGGACCTCACCCTCAAAAATACCCCTTCACCCCTCTATCCCAATTTTATAAAATTTCCATTTTTTCTATACTTACCTTAAAACAAAAGCCACAGTCCCAAAACTCTGGATGGCTGAGGCACAAGGTTCACAAGTTCAAACATAGCCTGGAAACTTTAGCAGCTTAACAAAACCCTGTCTCAAAATAAAAAATGAAAAGGAATGGAAATGTAGCTCAGCATGAAGGCCCCTGGGTTCAATCCCAGTACAGTAAATGAATAAATAAATAAATATCCATAAAGAATGTGTTGAATTTTCAAAACCCATGTAAAATAATTCTTTTCTCTGCTCATTCATATTGCCCATTTTGTACTCAGACCATCAGTTTGTATTCAATTTTAGGTTTTACTGTCTTACAAGATTAAGCCTATTTGTAATATTAAAATATATATGGTTCAAAAATCAAAGTTATATAAAGCAGTTCCCTACCCATCTCCTCCATGCTGTCTCCATCAAATTTTATGTATTTACCAGGCTACTTTTTATTTCTGTTTTGCCACATACTTAAGAGGTTCCTTGTTTATCAGTTTTGCATAATGACGCAGCAGGTTAGAGCTGGTAAATCATCAGAGGAAGTAGGCGTGGCCTGTTAATTCTACAAAATCCAAGGACACATGCGTAGAACAGTTCCCACAGCTCTGCTTGTGTACCTGGAGCGTGCTGACTTCAGTTCTTGCCAGAACTTGAGCAGATTTTTGATGGGACCATCCAGACCTGATGCCAGCCGGAAGAGTGGGAGAAAAAGAAAGGCAGTCTACACTGAGCCCTGTGCTAATCATGGCTTTCACACTGTTTATTGAATTTTCTACATTAAGTCTATCAGTAGTGACTCCATTGTAGATACCGATTTGGCAGCTGGGATTCGGACCTCATGCCTTCCCTTCTCATCTCTGGTTTTTCATTCTGAACACTTCCTCGTAAGAAACTGAATGGGATCCTGTAAGTTTTCCTCCTTTTGTTTGTGTTGCTCAAACAATTTAAGGGAAGTGAAATTCTTGTTGGACCTAATTCAGCAGCCTGTCTACACCGTTAGAGGAGCCTGATATTTGCTCTAGCACACACAAAAGAGGAAATGTGTGTAAAATACTTTGTGATGATTCTGTTACCATATATGTACTGAACTCATGTTTCTCGCACGTCTAGGAATGAAGTCACAAACGAGAAGAGATTCGGGGAGTTTTACTGAATATAAGAATAGGCAGAGTCACTCCTGGATTTCCAGAGGGGTGCTGAGTGGGTGGCTGCAATGACCTTTCATTGCTCTGTTGTTTAGTGGCCGCCTATCTTAAGTGGGTGTGTGGATTTCAACTGACTGGAACTCAAGTTTCTAACCTTAGTCTTCAATATCTAGGGTTTAAAGGAAACTGGGACTTGTAGAGAAAAAAGTAGTTATTTTACGTTTTAATTTTCTCAGAACTCAGACACTTACTAGGAAGTGGCTGCCCCTCCCTTTGGTGGGTAGTGGACCGCACCCCATATTGCCTGAGAAAAAGTACTAATTCACTATTATTTGAATTCTCATCAGTATCGCTGGTCACCCAGCTCTGTCTTCAGACCCTTGCCCCTCACTAGCTGCTTTACTCATAAACTAACCAGATAAACTATCATCTATTTCCCTGACCTGTCTATTGAGTTAGGAAGTTAGTTATGGGACCTCCTTTTACTCTCAAATTTAGCCTATTGCAAGGAGAGGGTTGTTCTGTCTTGACCTGGCCTTCAAGAGTTTGGTGCCAACATAAGGTGGGAGATTACAGCACTGCAAAACAGCTGAGCCAGAGGGAATGACCTCAAGCAGGTTTTTGGTAGGATGGCCTGTGTCTGACGTCAGCCTGAGGAGAAGGAGATACTAAAGATGGCAGCCATTAACTTTGTGGCCACTGTGCCCCTCTTTCATGGCGGTTCCTTCCCACACCTAGAACGTACTTCTCCTTCTTTAGTTGGCCTGCTCTCACTCTGCAGAGTATATTTCTGGTCCTACCTTTAATAAATGTAAAACTTGGCTACTTTTCACATTTGTTTTGTCCAATTCTTTGTTTAGGACAAGAAAAACCTAAAAAAAAAATTCTAGGAGTCCCCAGCACCTCAAAACCTGGTGACAATGGGAATGGAATCTTATCTATTTGATCCTAGTGCCTGGTCAGAGTGGTGACCAGGGAGCGATCCTGTGATGATTGAGCTTTCTGGCTTCATATTCTGGCTCCACCACAGAGCAGCTGCTTGAACATACACTTCAGTTTCTTCCATCTCAAAAATGGAGATAGGTTATCTACATTTTTTCTTATGCTATTTTTTAGGTGAGAATAACCTGCATTTTACATTGAGGCCTACGATCCAATTTTGAGCTAATTTTTGTGACAGCTGCAGGTCAGTGCATAGGCTCACTTTTTAGCATGGCTATCCATTTGTTCCAACATCATTTGTTGAAAAAGCCATCATTTCTGTGTTGTAATGCCTTGATGCCTTTATCAAAAAAGTTCAGTTACAAGAGTGAGAGGTGTTCAGTGGTAGAGCACTTACTTACCTGCACAAGGCCCTGGCTTCCATCCTAATACTACAAAAAAGAAAGAAAAAGAAAAAATACCAGTTACCTGTGTTTTTGTAGGTCTATTTCTGGGCTCTCTGTTCTGTTCCATTATTTGATTTGTCTGTTCTTTACCACTGCCACACTGTCTTGATTACTGTAGCTTCATAGTAACCTTGAAATGTAAGTCCTTGTATCAAGCAGTGCTTATTAACTAGAGAAACAGATTTATTGCAACATATACGAATGCATAAGAATTCACAAGATTGACCTACGGTGGTCACCCAGAGTCAGGTGTGGAAGAGTACAGAATCTGTCTGCACACTGGAGGTCCAAAGGTCAGTCAAAGGCCTGGAGCTCAGTGTTGTGGCCTGTACAAGTCTGTATCAGGAGGCCTAACGGTCTGAGATGGAGGCTGAAGAGTCTTTGCTGGAAGTTTGATGATGTCCAAGGTGAGGGTGATGACTAGAGCTTCTCTGAAGAAACAGAAGTAAGTCTTAGTTCTTTATTTTCCTTTTATCCCATTCAGGTGACAAGTTGCCCTAGGGAGGGTCTTCCATACTCAGAACCATGCTGATTCAGTTTAGTTGGGCATTTCTTACTCGAGTCAACAAAATCAGTCCTGTGACATTGTTCTCCTTCAATATTATCCTGGCTGTCTGCATCCTTTGTCTCTCCATATATTCCTTGAATCGTGAATACTATAAAATAAAGTGCTGGAATTTTGATGGGGATTGTGTTGAAATTATAGATCCATATGGTGTTGTTTGAGGCCTCCAGAAGTTACACAAACAATGCCTATAATACATTAGAGATTTAATAAGTATTATATGTTATTTCTTGCATTGAAAACAGAAATTTTGAATTAAAATATTCTTGGATCAGGCCAATAAAGTCCAGCATAAAAATTCTTTATGCTATCTCCATAATCCTTGCAGAATTACATATGAATTTTACTGGTTCTGTTCCTCTGGAGAGCAATGTATAAGGCATTTCATTTTTATCAGTAAATGTCTCAGGATGTAAATCTTAACCTGGGAACTGAGGCCCACATTCATCATTTCTTTTAGAGAGAATGGATTCTACCACATTCACCCAACAGCTCTTCTTTGACATGGAGTAGCTACTTCACTTAATGTTCTCTTCCTAGCCTGGCCCTTGGATGATGAGGGATTTTCATCTGGTTTCAAGGCAGGCTCCTCATGAAAATTACAGCTCTGAAAGAACTGTCATTCCTTCAAATATTATCTTTATCTAGAAGGGCTAAATGGCAAAGGAAAAGAGAAGAGGACCATAATAAGTGGCTCTCTTCTAGGCTAAGTTCTGGGAGGGGAAAGTCCCTGGAAGATTAGAGTACAGCAAGACATTTGACCTATATGCTAATTTTGGAACAAGAATGTCAAGTACAAATCAACTTTTTCTCCCTGACATCATATGTCAAAGGAAAGGTGCTGTTTAACTGAACTGCTAATCTCAAAAGCATGCTTTATCTTTTGAAGATCCAAGATCCGTAAGCCACACATAATTTCCCAGAACAATACTCTCATACTTTAAAATATCATAAGGATGTAAGGCGAGTTTCAACCCGAGGTGCTATGGGGCAAAGAGGGTGTGACTTAAACCCATAGTAAATAGGGAATGGCTACATGGGGCTGAGTTACATTTGAAATAGCCATACTCTGTGCCCAGATGTATTTATATGGAAAATATAGTATATATATATATATATATATATATATATATATATATATATATATAGCAAATCTTTTATATATATAAAGCAAATCTTTTAACCTTATTTTTATACCTTTTATACCTTATTTATTCATAAAAGTGATATATAACCCTCTAAGACATTCAGGAAGTATAAAAAATTATTCAACAAAAGTCACTTCTCTCAAAGAGAATCACTGTTACAGTGCTAATGCCCTGTCACCTTTTTAAGGTGCACTTTTAAAACTATAATACACAGTAGAAATTATTTCAAATTTTTTAATAGTGATCATTGCAAAACTTAAAATCCAGTGTTCTTAAAATCCAGTGAAACTGCTGCATCATAACCATTCAGACAAATATATATGACATTTAACAGTTCCCTTCTTGCCAGACAGGAACTAAGTTTTCTATGTTCAATTTGATTTATTTATCAATATTTATGAAGTGTCACACACATACCTAGGCTATAGAAATAAATGGTCCCTGTCCTGCTTAACTAGGAAAAGAGGACTATAACATGTTCAGAATGCAATTGCATAAAGATAAACACCAGTTAGGAGAGAAGCAGTTTTGGTGAGGTGAACTGCTAAAATCAGGCAGAAGGAGGTGATACCTGGGTTTTCAGAGAGGACAGCAAACTGTACATCAGAACAAAAGAAGAAAACATAACTTATGATATTAGCCTTCTAGTATTTTCCTCCATTATCATTAACATTAGGCATCGAATTACCCTAAAATTGTTTAACTGTTTTGGAACAAATGGAACCCACTAAGCAGTGTGTGGTAGTACAGGCCTATAATCAGCTATTTAGGAGAATGAGGCATGAGGATCAAAAGCTCAAGGGCAGTCTGGGCAATTTAGCAAAACCATGACTCAATAAATAAATCAGAGGACTAGGGACATAGCCCTGTGGTAGGGTATCCCTGGGTAATACCCCCAGTACCATCAAAAGAAGAAAAAAGAAAAGAAAGAGTAAAAAAGAACTCCATCCATTAATTTATATTTCCTTGGTTACTGGTAAATTTGGATATTATATTTGACTATTCAAAAATTATCTTCTGTTTTCTTTTACCTCTTCCTAATACCGTTTTTGCATACTTCCTATTATATATTCCTTATCTATGATTTCTGACTACCATGCCAAATTATATTTTGCAAATATTTTGCCATCTTGCCTTTTTTTCGCATATAACACATTTCTACATGCAAAAATTTGGAATTGTTAAGCAGCCCACTGATTTATTTTGTAGAAATTACTTCTTGCAGAAATCAGTTCATTGTTATTTGTTTTAGATTTTATACCCTTTTAAAATATTTAAAGATTTAAATCATTTGAGAACTGTTTTGGTTTCTTATGCACTTCAACATTTTCAAAATTATTCTGCTATTCAGATTTATTCTAGGGTGTGATAAAATATACAACGAAGGCCAAGTGCCACCCAGTGGAAAGGCAGGCTTGTGAAAACATCCATCAAGGTGTCCTTACTCACCTTTTTTGCCTGATCTAGAACTGCATAACCTCCAGCTCATTCCCAGAATCAAAATGACCTTGAAAGGTAAACATTTTGAATGTGTTCAGAACACGGAGGCAGCTACAACTGTGCAGTCCTCAAGAGACAGGACTTCCAGAACGACTTTAGAAAGGAGGAAGAGAAATGGGGTGAGGGGGTTCGAAGCAAGACAGAGAATTTTAAGGGAGAATTTATGGCAATGTATTTTTTGTTGTAATATTTTTTTTAAAAATTAAAACTTCACTGTATATTTCGGTCACATGTGGCATATCAACCATGCCGATTTTGTTAATTATATTGTTTAAAACATCTATACCCTTTCTCTTTTTTGTCTTCTTGCCCTTTTTAACACAGAGAAACACTGTTAAACATCTCAGATCAATAATAAAAATATAAATATAAAAATCTCACGTTTTCCTTTTTAGTCTTGTTATTGTGGGTCATATATTTCTATGGTCTATTTTTAAGACTGTATAAATTTAAAATTATTACAATGTTCTGATGAATTGGTCCTTTTATCAATATTTTATCCAAAAAGTCAATATTTTTCAATTCCCAGCACCACACACACACACACACTCCAAAACAAAAATAAAGTTTTTCTTATCTCTAAAAGTGCATCTTGCCTTAAAAACTTACCTTGTTTAATATTTGGAGAACTTTATGGGATTTCAGTTTGATACCATTTAAATAGCAGAATTCTTTTCCCTTTTGTGTTGCCTTCTATTAAAAATGTCTCCTGGAAACAATAATAAAGTTGTTTTGATTTTGGTTTCATTTTTTAGGATCAGGAAGCTGAACCAGGGCCTCACACATGCAAGCTCTCTAGCACTGAGCCACATTCCAGCCCTTTTGTTCATTTGTTTTGTTTGTTTGGAGACAGGATCTAAGTTGTCTAGACTGGACTCGAACTTGGGATCTCACTGGCTGAGACTCCCAAGTAGCTAACATGATAGGCATGCACCACCATGCTCCACCTCATTATTTATCTCACGTACAACCTTTACCTTTTAACTTGGCTGTACAAAAATTCCATCTATTTGTACTTTCCTTATCTATTCTTTTACTATATTTTTTCTTGCGTCTATTGGAGTGAATATTTTTATAACTCTTAGTTTACCCATTTTTCTAGTATTTCAGTTGTTACTGTTATGATATGCATTCTTGTTTATTGAAGCTAAGTACTTTTGTCAGTTCCTCAACTATGTGAGAACTTCAGAATATTTTAATTCCACCTACTTTCCCCATTTTTTGTGCAT